GTTAAAATTGCAATTCCTCAGAAATTGGCAAATAAGATCGTTGGAATATGGATATATTCTAAAAAAAAAAGTATTCGAAGAGAACATGATATGGTTGAATACAATAGATATAAATAAATAAAAAATTGCCATAAAAGACAAAGAGTAAGAAATCATACCGGGATTGTTTCAGCTTTGTGAAACTCTGAAACGTAACTTGAATTTCAAATCTATAGGTAAGGCCAATATTATTCGAATTTGGCATAAAATTTATAAACCACTACATAATGATTTAGGTTTTTCTTTTTATAATGGTTTTAATTATTTTATTTTTAAGTATATTAAATAGTTATCACAAATTTAATATTTTATGATCCAAATTTAAAATTTGTTAATAAATTTATCTAAAAATTTTATAAAATTTTTAAAAGTGCGTTCCTAAGTGCCTAAGAAGTTCGTAAAAAAGTGGTTTTGAAGTTAATAAATTAAAAATGAATTGAAGCACATTTTTAAAAGTATCCGACATGTTGTCTTGGAGTTGTTCGAAGAAGTGTCAGTGTTTGCCATAGTATGACAGCGATGGTTGCAAAGTCTTTTAAAGTAAACTGTGCAACCTTAGACGACAATAATTGAATGTTTAATTTTCTAAACTTATATTTAGTGTTAACAAATGATGGTGGCATGCCAAAAAAATCTAAATTGTGCATTATAGGTTCCATTTTTTTAGTTTACGTGGCAATTGATGTGCTTCCCCAGAAATTGGTGAAAATATGCCAAGTAGCAGAGGTTTTGATGTTGGAAATGGTTGAAAATCTGCATTTTGAAACCTTCATATAAGCTCTCTACCTAACATCCCTTCTCATTGTCAAACCATATCGACTGAAACTCCAATAAAACTCTAAATGAATATTAATTTAAAAATTTCATTTCACTCTCTCATCCTGCAAACTAAAAAATTTTAAATTATCACTTTTATTCATCACTAACAACGGCATACAACAATCATGATCAACTCAATAATACACTCAGTTTTAACTTATAGTGTTTAACCATTATTTGTAGAAGGGCTGAAACCTAAAATCCATATTTCCTTCTAGTATGTCGCCATAACTTTCAATAATTGAACTTATTTATCTTAGTGTAAAAAAAAAAAGTGAATGCAAAAACTCGTTTTTGAATGTGTGCATTGTAATACTCCACCCAAAATAAGCTAAAATGGCAGGAATTTTCCCAACAGAAAATTACAGAATCAGTACTGCTACTTCGTTTAAGGGGTTATTTTCAGACTCCAACCAACAATTAAATTGGCATATCACAAGTGTTTTTCTAGGTCCAAGAAAACTTTCTCCTTGATTAAAATATTTCTTTTGCATTGTCACTCTCATAGTTTAAGACTAGGCTTTTGACGAATAATGCTGCTAAAACTAGAATCGGCCTCACATTGATGTTTTTTTTCCTTTCTTGATGCTATTTTAATTCTTTCCATGAGTTTAGATTTTCCTAATTGGCTTCAACACATAATCAACATATAGACTCGTACTTCTTCAGCATTTTGATAGACCCAATCGCCTTTTCTAGATGAAGGGAAATAGATACTCCTCCATCTTCTACTTTCCTTTCAAACTTCTTTGTGTTATTTTATTTTTTTTTATTAATACAATACAATACAATATTAATCTCAAGAAAAGAAAATAGAAATAGGCGAGGCACAGGATGGAGAAACCTCTGACTCCATCTTTTGTATTACCAATACATCAAAACAACCTTTAGACTCTGCTATCTCCGTCTACTTCTCTATCTTCACACAAATCATAGCCATCCACTTATTATAAAAAAAACTATAACTCTCTTTGTGATGACCTTAGACTCCTCTACTTTCAAAAATTCCCATCTTACTCTTTTACTATCATTACTGCCTATTCCCTTCTCTCTAAACTAATTTCACCACCTTATGTACTTCTACGGTTTTTTTTCGTCTTCCCCAAGTCACTGCCAACTCCATAACCGAATCTACACTTCGATTGTTACTCCTATATAAATCATTTGACTCGTGGATTAGCAGATGAAACGCTTTCAGACAGTAGTAGTTACCATGAACCATCAACAAAGTAACAGTTGGACTTGAAGTTTTTAGGATTGTGATGATATGCGTTGAAAATAGAGGAGGGTAGATGGAAAGCATTAAATGAAGGTCAAAAGTGGAATTTCCAATGATTTCCACAATCAAGCTCAGCTTTACTTGATAATATTTTCAATCTATGAGGCCACATCAGCCGGCCACAGAAATTGAAAAGTGGGAATCCCATAAATGACAATCAATTTCCAGCATGGCCGACGTCATTCGAACACCAAGATAGAAACTTTTAGAAAATTAAAGTACTCAATCGTTTTATCAATCTTTCGATGAAACACAAATAACAAAAAAAAAAAAAAACAAATAGGTCAGACACTAAAGTATAATTATTTCATTAATACATTGACCCCATTTAAGTAAAAAATATTGTTGGCACCTCAACTTTATTTTAAACTATTAAACACTTAAAGTTATAAAATTATAGAGCCAAATTAAATAACTGTCACTTGCAAAAATTATTTTACTAAATAATCAAACTTCTTAAAATACATTAATAACACACTTATTAGATAATTGAAAAAATGTGAAAATTATTATTCCAAATAATTAACAAACATTAAGGTGAATATCTTGCACATAAATGCCAAAAACGCACCAAAAGATCATTTTTTGCACTGGATATATACAACTTACTCTGTGCTTTTCACAAAAAAATTCTTTGTGGCATTCCTCTCTAACTTTTGTTTTAATCCAGTGAAACACTTCACTTATAAATTGTATATGGAATAGAATACTAATACTGATTATTTGAACCTATAGACACTGTAACTTTATAAAATTGGATCGACTTAAACATTTATTGAAAAATTGAAAAAAATGTAAAATCACTGTTTCCAAAAGCTACATTTAAGTATCAAATCAATATTTTTTGTATATAAAAGCCCAAAAAATCTTAAAATTTATTGTTTTCTTAGTATGAAGGAAGTGTTGAAATTTATTAAAAATGAAGTTCAGAAAATGCCCATAAAGTTTTTTTTTTGTTAAAGTTCAGGAGTTAATTAATGTATTCGGTAAAAAAATATTATTTGTTAAAAATAGAGAGGGATACAATATTAAAGCAAAGATTCAATAACTTCAGGATAATAAAAGCCCATATCCAAATTTAAGAAGTGCCACAAAAGTTTTTTTTCGACAAAGTAGAATTGTGTGTATTATCTCTTGGTGATTAATATAGTTACAATCTTCAAATTTATAACAACTCTATGAACCGTTCATTTGTGATACAAAAAAAAAAAAAAAGGCCATTTTAAGGAAATTTTTCCTTAAACACAATTTCCAATAGAAACATGTTGAAATTTATTATTTTTATAATTTTCCTAGAGAAAATAATATTATCCCAAAATTTTCAAATTTTACGAAGGAATTGAAATTTTGGAAAGATCAGGTTTATTAGCTATACATTTTCCATTTTTTTTCCTTGAAATGTGACACAAAGATAAATATTAATTTTGGCAGGATTTTATTTATTTTTTTTAAGAAAACGTTTTTTAATATTATTAGTTAAATATTTATGAAATATCTAAATTTTTCAATTTAAAAAATTTTCAATTAAAAATAAATCAAAAAGTAAAGATGTTATAATAGAAATCTATAAATTAAAGTTAACAAAATATAATTGTAGCTACAGTTATTTAAACAAGAGTTTTAAATGTAGAACCACAAGTTAAAACCTTAAATCTAATCCAAAATCCTTCAAGCTAAGCCCGAACCCAAAGAAAACTATAGAGAATCAAAGAAAAATCAATTAACAATGGAACCAAAACCACTTAAAACCCGAACCAAGAATCAATTTACAACTATTGGAGAGAGCTGAATCGGACCCTAAAAAACCCAAACCTTTCCTTCCTTCTTCTTACAGCAGCCGATCTCCGATCACCTTATTCCACGCCAGCCCTCCCTTCCGCCAAATTTCAGGCCGATCAACAGCCAAAAAACCGCCACTCCATCGCCTCTAACGTCCATTTCCGGTCTCCCTCTTTAAAGCCGCAGTTCGAGTTCCTTCAGTCTTTGCTGCCATTTGAGAAGAGAGAGATTGACAGCCCTCCTCAATCCGATCAACATTAGGCCAATTTCTGGCAAGTTCCTTCCTCCGCGAAATAAGGTATAAAAATCACTATTATCATCTTTTTTCATGCGAAATCATTTTGATCAATTTAAGGATTTTTGTGAAGATTGCTGAAAATTGGTTTTTTAGGTTTTGAAAATTGGGGTTTTTTGTCAATTAGCTTAAGAGATTGAGTTAGCGTTTTCCATTAATTTTTGGACCGCCCAAAAATCAAGCTCTATTGGGTTTAAGAAAATTTTGACTGTAAGACTAGGCTGGCTGTAGATTCCGGCGACTGTAAAAATATATAGTTGGAATGCCACATTTTGTGCGTAGAATCAATGAATATAGATTTTTTTTTTTTTTTTTTGGTGAATCAACGTCAAAAGTTTGATAACTCCAAATTAGCCAATTGATGCATTAGGTAACTAGGCTTTGAAGCCGAAATGTTGCAGAAATCAATAGTAAATTAGTTACTTTGAAGTCATGAATGCTTTGATTTTCCGTTTGAAATTAAATTAAAATCGATTAGTTGCTATAAAGATCGGAAAATGAAGAAATTTACTGAATTCAATTTATTTTTAATTTAGCTAAGGTTTAGCAATTATTAGTTATTGGATGAGAATGGGATTGTACATTTAATAATTCAATTGATTGAATTGTTAAAAAATAATTGGAAAAAATGAATATATGGTCTATAATCGAATAGGATTTTTTAAATTGCAAAACTTATGCCACCTAATGTGTAAGTACTAAGTTAATTATCAAATAATGCTTGTAAGTATGTGTAAGGCAATGGGTTAATGGAGGAGGAATTGAGTTTTGCTGAAATGATAAAGTAAGATGAATGAGGTACTAATGTAATTTCATATATTTTTTAAGATGTAATTATGATGTATCAGTGAGTATGAGATTGAGAATTAAGTGGTGATGGGTTTGTGATGATGGTGGGATGGAACTTAGTTGAAATGTGAATTTGCTTGATGGATGGAGCTTTGTGAATTGCTTATTGACTATTGATTTTGGATAGTACTTAAAACGGATTTGGTAAACTCGAGTTAGTTAAGGATTAGTAACTTTTACACTATGTTTGGAAAAGGATGAATTAATGTATCTAGAATTCATTTGTAAATGAAAATTTCTTAAGTAAGAAGTTCATTGTAAATAGAATTCTCATATTTTTAGTATGCAATAGATTTAAAAATAAGAAATTCCAAAAATAAAATATTTCCACAAATTATGTTTGGAATAAAATTTTTAATGAAATTCATATTGTCTTTATTTCCTAAAATATCTTTGACATAATAATTTTAATGAAAAACAAATAACAAACCAAATTAATATTATTAAAAACTTGTAAAATAAATTTTATTTTTTCTAGTTTTTATTATACGAAAAACTTAACTTACAGTTCAAAAAATATATAAAGAAAAATTGTCATCAAAAGGAAAAACTGAAATTATCAAGCTTAAAAGTACAATATATAATATAAAACCGTTGCTGGAATAATATATTTTTATTTAACTTTTTTCCTTTTTAAAATGCAACTATATTTTTCAATGTTTGATTAGAAAATAAATACAAATATAAGTTAAAGATAATTTAATTCAAATAAAAAATGAAGTAGATGAGTTAATCATAATAAAAAAACTGTTGAGCAGTACCTACAGGTTAATGATAACTTTTTTCACTTGTATGGACCATACAGGTGCTGCTATAGGGTAGGAAGAAGAGCTAAACGAGGAACTTAAAGTGGCATTTAATGGAGGTGGCAGTCCAGAAATAGTAGTGGTAGTGGGGGCTTGTAGTCGGCGGTGGGTGATTTTTTGAAGTGATTTGAGATCGGGAAGTGAAAATAGCAAAATTAAGATGAGATAAATAGGGAAATAGGAAAGGATAGATTTCCCATAAAATTTGAGTATAGTTTGAGTTTTGTGGAATTCATTTGGAAATTCCAAGCCATTTAATGAATTTGGTCTAAGTTATGCTCAATTCTATAGAATTGAATTCGTGAATTGAATCTACATTTTTTTTTTCATTACAAAACAAAATTTAGATTTTCAAAAAATGAATTGCTCACAAATTTTGTGAAATCATTTGTTTCAAACAACACGCTCTTTAGTTATAAATGTATAGTATACGGTAATATTTCTGTTATTGATATACGTGTTTCTTTACATTATTCCAAATTCTTCAAATAGATCGTCTAGGTTTTGTGTCAGCTGTTGGGAAATCAAAGTTCAGAGTTAGGAATTTGCTTACTCTCCAATCACTGAGTTTGTTAAATATATAGCACATTACAAATTTCATGCACTGTCATAAAAATATTCCCGTTATTTTATCAATAAATCATTAGAATTTAACCTTATTTATATTAAAATTTTTAACTTTAGATTATATTTAAATATTGTTTGCTAAGACTTAAATTTGTTGAGATGCATACTTGTTGATTAAAATGAATGTTGATTATCTGTGCTTGTGGTGATATTGGGGATGAGGTGGATCACCTCCGTTTCTATAGGTGGGTCCGACCTTACCATTGCATTAACTTGGTAGAATATGTTGAATTATAAGGTCCTATTTTTTTTATAATATGATTTCGGGCTAAATGGGTGTCGGATGATTTGTTTAATGCAAGCTAGAAGTTTCTTCGATAAAAGACTTAGTTTTTGGAGACAAGATGTGTTGATATCTTGTAGCTTAATGTTTCCCTTTCCCAATTTCCCATTATTATTCTGGGAAAAAAAAAGGAAATAGAAATGACCCGAATGTATTAATTAAGATCCAAAAATCCTGAATCCAGTTCACTAAAGCATTTAGAATTATATAGTCTCTCATTAGGTAGTAGGTAGTTCCATTGTTAGCTTATCTTGCTCAAAGTTAATATGCTCTCCTCCTCTTAATTAAAAGCCCGAGTTCAAATCCTTTTTTAATGGTTTTTGCAGTTTAAGATAGAGACAGAAGAATTCACTCACCAGACTTTAAACCAAGCTGGTTTTGGTTGCTATTAATCACGATAATTCCACCTGCTGCAACAATTGTTTGGTTTAAAATATAGCAAAGAAAAATATTAAGCTACTTGGAGCTGCCTCTTTGCGTAATTATTTCTAACTTGATTTGGCAATCAATATAGAGAATTGATATGTTTTCTTTTTTATTGAATTTAGGGAAATAAAATTTGAAGGGATGAGTGGTGGCGAGGCTACAAGGGAATATTTGGCGGCAGCGGTAACTAAAAAGAGTGGACTGAGGCAAGGCAAGGATATTTGGCATGTGGCTTAACCACAGGGTTGAGATCTCCTCACAGATTTTACGTAAGAAACCTCATTGGTGAGAAAGGGGCAACAATGGTACCTCTGAACGTCCCACGAGAGACGACCCACTTGCTCATGGCTCGCCAAGAACAAGAGTAATACTAAGTTTCCGTCTCTCTCTCTTTTATTTATTTATTTTTTTATCTCCATTGAAATTTTTCTTTCTAAAAAATGAATAAGGTCTGTCGAAAGATGGTGTTAGTAAGCATTACATTTGTGGAATGAGATTTGCAGCTATATTCACCTTGACCTTCCTGCTTCTCTTGCTTGCAAATAAGCAGCTATCTGTGCCTCACTGTTGCCCTTGCCACCTGTGACCCTTTACCAACCTGACTAAGGCCCTGTGGTGCTTTTAATGTGCAGAAACATTGATCAGAATTCAGATCTATTATCAAATTCAGACTAGGCTGTCCTATATATATTGCTGTATGGCCCCGCTCTTGTAGTAATTACAGTTTGAAATCATATGAACTGTTTATAGTGTATTATCTCTCCCAATATTAAATAAATCGAGGACTTGCATGAAATTTTTAATTAAAAATATGTTGAAATTGACTAAAATTTTTCAAGTGGAACCACAGCCCTTTGCAAGAAATATTTTTGCTATAGACGTTATTGACAGATATGTTGTTGAATTGAAAGTTAATCAAGGAAGAAAATAAAAAAATCAATCAATTGGCGATGCAATGTTTTAGATTAAGACAGTGAAATTTGGATTAGATTTACCCTTAGGGAAATTTTACTTATTAAGTTATGAATTCTTTACTGAGAGGAGCCCATCATTCTTTATGAACGAATGAGCCTTTCTGTGGTTTACTGAATTGTTGTCTACTTATATCAAGTTAATCAACATATATTACAAGAATAAAGGTTCACTGAAATAAATAAAGTTTGCTTTTTTTTTTTTTTTTTTTTTTTTTTTTTTTTTTTTTTGGTGTCTTCCTTCGCTTATGGCTTCCCCTTTGACCAGCGTTCAATTAAGGCTACTTTCATTTTATTGGATGCCTTGAATAAAGTTTTAATGAAATGCTATAAAATGCATCTATTTCAACAGTTTAAACTATTTACACAAATTTAACTGTCTTGTCTTGTATCATGCTTTTCACAGGCGCTTGACGAAGCTTGAAATGGTTTGAAAGCGTCGTGGAAAAGGGGCACGCCAAGAGGGCAATGGAAAGGGTGCCATAAAAGCGTAAACAAAGGAAAATGATCTTTCATTATTGTTCTTCAACCAGTGGCTTGGCTAGTATTTTCTCCAATAACAGTTTTAGCGGTAAAAGTTTTTATTTTAGTACCAACTTTGGAAATTAATGCAGTTATATGAATATTGATTTATTTTTCTTATATCGTTGGGAAACAGTTCTTAGATATTGAGCAGTGATATGATGTTGACATGAATTTGGCTCATTTATGTTTTGTTGCGGTTTATGCAGATGAAAAAACCCTAAACTACAAACATTGTACTCAAAGTTTCCTGCCATGCTAACTAACTTGTAAAAGGCAAGCTAAGTAATGGCTGTACTTTTTAAGAAAGTAAACCAAGTTGAACTTAAAGAAAAACAAGGTTGAGACTACTATTGAGAATTTAATGCCCGTCTATTGACATAGTACATTTCTGCCCCTATTTAATGTAATATTAGCATGCATAACTTTCAATGAATTGTTTGCTGCAATAAAAAAGTTTCCCATTAGTTTTTTTACTGGGTGGCTTCGTGGAGTTTTTGGGTAGTATTTTATAAAAGCTTGTTGAAAACCTGAGAGTGGGAGCACCGCTTTGTTGAAGAAATTATTGTGCACCAAAGCTTATGGCTTTGAAATCCAATTTGGTGGCAAATTTTTGGATCAACTTATATAGCATAAACTTTTATTAGCGAATGCCGAAGATATCCTGGAATGAACAAACTCTCAATGAGAAAAGATATTAATAGACATATGAGAAGCAGCAGAAAGGTCAATCTTAATTGTTGATTTAGATGTATTGCGCGCACTATTTAAGCTTTTGCAGAATTGGGTGTGCTTTTTCAAGTCCGAGGGGCCTTCATATGCTTGCTTCCATAGGAAAGTATTAGAAAAGGTCATAGTTCTCAACAACTGTTTGTAGAAAAGTTCAGTCCATGTCAAATAATCGCATAAATTTTGACTCTAGCAAGACTATCTTAGATTGAAAGAAGAAAGAATTGAACACTGCACAGAGCTTTTGCATTGTTTAAAGTGATTTCTTCTCAAATTTGTATTATCTTATCCTTTCTCTAGCCTGAAAGCTTCCAAAGCATTGTTGGAAAAATAACAATGTAGTTTTACTAACAACAAATATTGAGGTTAAGGAAACAAATTTAGTGACACTGTACGTCCAGGCGTCCTTTCAATAACATCTGTCACTTTGCCAAGTGAAGAACTTGAGTTTTCACCAATAATCCCCACAAAAGGAACATGGTACCATTCTTTGAAGTGATGGAACCTTCCTACTCTCTAAGGATGATTTCCTGCCATATAATTCGAGATAAACTTAAGCTGGCAGCAATGGCAAGTCATTACAGTAACTCTAAGATTCTCTGGCGACTCTTAATAGTAGTTCGCAGGCGGACTGTTCAGTATCCGAAAGCTATGCTAAATTTCTCACTGTGGCCAAAAAGTAAAAGCCTTCTTTCTCATCCTCCTGGACAATTATGAAGTACACAAGAAGTATCAGGCACGTATCCTTCCTTATTTCATCCTTTCTTGACAGGGTATCAAGAAAATCATGGAAGTTCCTCACTTTGCGGGTTGCATTAAATCCCCAGCTAGAACTGTGTGCACTTTCATCACCTCATCACGATCCAACCTATCAGGCCAGGTCTTTCCTTCTAACTCCTATTTCCTTCAATCTTCCTCGCTAACATCTGTTGCTCTATCCCAAAGCCAGCAAGAAGAATAATATTAGACAGTAAACATAGTGGCTGCAAACATTTGGTTGTAACTTGATTAGGTGTTGATTAGGTGTTGAGCAGCAATTTCCCCTATTTTCACATTTTGGTGTAGTCGACATGCTCCGAGCAAGCTACTCCAGGCCCCAATATTGTCAAAACAAGAAGGTGTTGTATTGATGAATTCATACGCTCGTTCCACTTGGCCAGCTCTACCAAGTAAGTCCACTACACAAGCATAGTGATCTGGGCCAGGTTCAATATCATGTTCCTCTTTCATGCTCTGGAACAGATGTAGTCCCTCATCAACCATTCCTGAATGACTACAAGCAGCAAAAATTGCTATGAAAGTAACATCAGTAGGCTTTACTTCTCCCCCAGCCACCATATCTTTGAACAGCTGTAAGGCCTCCTCCCCATTCCCATGCATCCCATAAGCCATGATAATCACATTCCAGGTAATAACATTTCTAATGGGCATTTGATTGAATACTTTTCTAGATAAGTTTAAGCAGCCACATTTTGCATACATGTCAACTAATGCACTTCCTACAGTGACTTCTGATGCCAATGAATTTCTGATAGCATAAGCATGAATTTCTTTACCCTTTGCCAATGCTGCCAGTGAAGCGCAACCAGGAAGGACAGTCATGAGGGTTATTGAATTAGGAATAAAACGAACTCGTTTTTCATGATCATGTTTGTTATTTCCTTCATCTGCTTGTCGCATCTCATGGAGGAGCAAAAGTGCATCCCCATAGCATCCAGAAATTACATAACCAGTTATCATTGTGTTCCATGAAACTATATCTCTTACCTCCATGCTACTAAAAATCGTCTTTGAAACATCTATCTTCCCCATCCTAGAGTACATATCAATAAGTGCATTTTGCACATATATATCCCTTTCTAAACCCCTCTTTATCACATACCCATGTATGGCTTCTTTATTAGAAAAGGTTGCACAGCGTACACAAGCAGGCACAATAACTGCCATTGTGGTTGAATTGGGATGAAGCCCTGCAAAGGCTTCCATTTCAATAAAAAGCATCAACGCCTTCTCATCCTGCTCGTTTTGTGCATAACCAGCAATCATAGCATTCCAAACCCCTATTTTCCTGTTCAAGATACCATCAAAAACTTGACGAGCACTTTCAGCCTTTCCACAATTGCAATACATATCAACTAAAGCACTACCAACAAAAGAATTCTCAACCAGATAACCATTTCTCAATGCATGGGCATGAATTTCCTTCGGTACCTAACATCTCCAAGTGGGAGCAAGCAGAAGAACACTGTGCAACTGTGACCCGTCAGGTTAATCCTTTCAGAACCATCAGCCTAAAGAAAACAGTGCTTCCAATAATCTTGTCATTTTGAAGAGAAGGAACCTTTATGATAGTGTTCCAAGAAACCAAGATTAGATCTCAAAACATATCAAAGACTTTTTGCATCACCTATTCTACCTAGAATTAGCATACATACTCATCAAAAGAATTGTTAGTGGAATGTTGCCCAATGACTTTTTCTTTAAACTATACCCATTGAACTTTTGCTTTCCCAAGCCGCAGCGTCATGCTTACTAAATTAGAGCAAGCCAACGTCAAGCTTACCAAAGTAAATGAACTTGGGTTCCAAATTCTCAGCCAACATGTTCCAAATGCTCTAAACGCAAAACTCCCACTTTCAAAACCGACAAAATGCAGAAATTAATGAATTCCAAGAAACTATATCTCTCTAGAAATTCCTATAACCATCTTAATACACATCACTATTTCTCCCACATTTACCATAGAAATGGTACAAGCGAATTAGGCTTACAGGCACAGAAGATATTCATAAACCCAAATTTGACAACATGAGCGATCTGTCTTCCAAATTCAAGTCCCAAGGCAGTCACGGCCTCAGAACTGCACTGCTGGGAAGGCAAAATTATCAGGCGAAACACCAGAAAGAATCATTTCAATGTAAGTGGAAATGGATTCACGGAATAAATTAGAACGAGTACTAAAGCGAAGGGATTCAATCCATGAAGCCTGAGAGCGAGATTGGGAAATGGGTTTTGGAGAAGAAGTGAAGAGGACGGCATGAGGAGAGTGTTTGTGATGTGTTTTCGTGTGCTGGTGGTGGGTTTGTGAAGAAGAGAGGGAATGTGGAGAGAAAGGGAGAGAGATTGGAGGAAGAGACTGTACAGTGTAGTGGGAGCACATTGGTAGTTATTTCAGTTGAAAGATTTTGAGCTTTCAATATAATAAACAATTGCATTAAATAAGCAGCAGCCGGCAGGGAAAGGAAGGACGGGGTCTGAATGAAATTGAAGGATTAGATTTTGGACGGATTAGATTTTGGACTTTTTTGGGTACGTGCGAAGTTTGTTTCTGTTCCATATATGAAATTTTTTCAGTAAGTTGGGGTTATGTTTGATGGGGAGTAAATAAACTAGAGAAGCTTGACATTTGAAAGAGTGAATAAAGTGTTTATATTTGATTTGCATTATTAATTTTACTTCATGTGAAGTAAATTATCCAACTTTCTTCACATTAAGAAAATAACTTCTTAAGATATTGTTAGGAAAGTTGTGAAAATACAATAAATTTATCATTTTTTGCTATTATATGAACAAAACATATATTTGGTCTAAGTTGAGCTTGACTAAACTAGAATCTTGATGGATGGAATGTCCACAGTGATCTTAATAATTTTTCATTTAGTTATATGAGAGATACTGAATTTAAATTTGAAACTTGCACTCTCTTTTTTACTTAATGATGAGAATATGACAAAACTTCATGCTCAACTTAAAGTGTTTTAATATAGTTTGGACAAATACTCTCCCTTCACTTAGATGCCTAACCCCCAAAATATTTTGAAGCCATAATACCGCATATGGGATGGAAGTGGAAGCAAAAAATATTTTGTCAGCAAAAAAAGAGCCCGTGAGATGCAAATACTGCATATTATGGGGCATTACTGTTATGTTAGTCAAAGTTGGCATTCATGGTTGGCCAACAACCAAAGAAAATGCATGCATGGTTGGCCAACAACCAAAGAAAATGAAGGCGATAGTTGGCCAACCACCAAATTTTGCATCTATAAATAGAGCATTTTTATGAGTGTTTTTTGTATCAACGCAGAGAGAAATCGATTAGCTAGTTCAGAGAGAAAAGCTTTGGTGAGAGAAAATAGAGAGTAATTTTTCTTGACTGAATTTATGAGTTGTGGGTTATACTCGTGTATAATTTTTCTCCTTAAAAGATCTGCAGCAGCACCGGAGACGTAGGCAGAATTGGCCGAACTCCGTTATCAAATTTGTGTGTGTGTTATTATTCCGCTTTTATTTGGTATCTAAATTTGTGCTGTCAGTCGTTATTCGCATTCCAGCTTTTGATTTGGCCATTCCTCACTAGATCTTGGATTTTATAACGAAAATTTTGCACTAAATTTTCCCAACAACTGCGTATCCAGACGCCGAAGCAGTTTTGGCAGGGTCACGCCGCGTTTAGATACGCTGGTACCTGGCGCGCGGATTCGTGGATATATTTCAAAAATACAATATACTCACGAACGACGGATGAAAAATTACGACGAGTTTTATTGGTGTTGTTCCGCTCGGAGAGTCGTTGGCATGGAATCGACTTAGTGGGTGAATAAGTATAAAACAAGATATACTTAAATTGAGTATGGGTGGGTGACCAGTTACTGACTGATGTCATCGGAGTATAAATGTTGCTCTGATGATCCGATTAAGGCCTAAGATATATTCCGTATAAGTACTACCATTCTGTATAGCGATTCTATTCTTATACGTATAGTGACTACTTCGACCATCGTAGACGTGTATACGATGTACTATTATCGTCACGTATAGTACTGTGATTTTGACGGTTGATACTGCGTTACTGATTCGGCACGTATAACTACCGATCAAGTACGGGCGGATGTTAAAGACCTCTCAAGTCGGGGAGCAATGGCCTGCAGATGAAATTTGGGAAAGCTGGAAAAGTTGAAATTGCGATGGTGGCAGATTTTGGCGGTTTTGGAAAATGCAAGATAGAGGATTATCTGTATGAAGAAAAGGTCTTCTGTCACGAACACTCTCTCACGGAAAGAGCCCAGAGGCTATGTAGGAGGTAAGATAGAGTTGGCACATCGCATTGGCTGTAGATTATGACCCTAGCGACTCGGGGTGTATATTGCGTGGCTATATACACCTTCTCAGTGCCGGCAATGTTGCCGTTGCATAGAGAATTATGGTCAATTAAGAAAAGACGCAAGGCGGGTCTTATGGCAGCTTTCTTGTTCCACATATGGTACGAAAAGGCCATCGGCCGCAAATAAAAGTTCTAGCGGTTGATGAGGCGGTTATTCAAGTCTACGTACTGATTCTGATATGGTTGTGATTATAACAATATTACGTATATATTAGTTCAGATACATATCATGATGTTATATATTAGTTGAGGGATTATGAATAGATGGCATCGGTGGCCCAACATCTCAATGAACTCAATAACAAGTGTGAACAAACTCACAATGTGAAAGTTTTCCATGATTGAAATTGAATTTGATGTAAAAGAGGTACGAGCATTGATACTTTGTCTTCCCGAATTTGATGAAGAGGTACGAGCATTGATACTTTTGTCTTCCCTACCAGAAAGTTGGAATGCTACTGTCACAGCTGTGAGTAGCTCGTCCGGAAGCAAGAAGTTAAAATTTGATGATGTTCGTGACTTAGTTCTCAGTGAAGAGATCCGACGGAGAGAGTCAAGTGAACCTTCAACTTCTTCAGTCTTGCATACAGAATCGAGATGAAGAAATTCAACCAGAGGGAATGGACGCGGTAGATCGAACTACCGAGGCAAGTCAAAGGACAGGAGGTCCAAATCCAGGAATCCTAGCAATTTCAATAGAACAAAGACCATCGAATGTTGGAATTGTGGAGAATGTTTGGAATTGTAGGAAATAAACTGGGTCCACTAAACCAATAAATCCAGTGCAATGAATGGCAACCTAAGCACTAGTAGAAGGGGAAGTTATAGAGGCACATGTTGCAAGGTTATCCACCTCAAGGATGAAGATTGATTTCATGTTTGGACATTCTTATATGCCTCTTAGTTTGGTAAGAAAATAGCAAGCAGCAGTCTTGGGTTTTAGACTTCCGGTGACATCATTTCATTTGCTAACTTCACAAAGTAAGATACTCCATTGAAAGGTAATGCCTCCCGCGGAAAACTTTTGGTAAAAGTATAGCCTTCGGTAATGACCCAAACCATGTAATTAAATCCTATTTGATTGGTAAAGTGGAGTAGTGGAAGATTAAAGTTGAATGGGTCTAGGTCATTGAGTTGAGTTTTGAGAGATGTGTACAGACGCGATATTTGCCTGGTACCTGAAAAAGGGATACTTAATCTCAGGTAGGTCAGTTTGGCCCGCGGATGTTTAACGGCTACACAAATAACCTTCCCACGGCGCATAATATGGGAAGATTACGAAGAGGTGCAGATGAGTGGTTGCTCGTGGCAATAAGAGCTGGGTGTATTTCAGCTACTTTACAAGCACAGGAGGAGAGAGCAAGCTATTCCATGTGGATTGTGATAGAGGCAGTAAGATCGGCTGGTGGGCTAATTTTTCCCAATCTATGGCATTAGAGACGGACTATGGCCATGAAATGCAGTATAGATAGGGAGTTGACTATTCTGAGGACCTCATGAACTTCTATGGAAAGGTTCTACATTCACAGGGAAAACTACCAGAGTGTTCTTGCAGTGCAAGCTGTTTGGAAACTTCCGCACCACTGTGTGGAAGAGCTGCAGTTATTTGGAAAAGCAGAAAAGAGTACAGCTTTTCCAAGACAAATAAGAAGAACGCCCAAAGAAGGGAGAAACTTGAGCTTGTTCACATCCGATGTGTGGGGACCAAGCTACTGTCATCATCCATTGGTGGGAAAACCTATATTGTGACTATCTTAAATTGAATGATCACTGCTCGTGAAAGGTATGGGTTTTACGCTTTTCGTAAAGAGTATACAGTCAGAAAGTATTTGAAATGCTTCAAAATTTATGGAAAGCTATGGTTTTGAAATGAGGACGGGATTGCGAAGATCATAAAGCTCAGAATCGACCATAGTGGTGGAATATGGAAGACACCAGATTCAAGAAAGTTCTGCTGATTGAAAGCTAACTGGAAACTCAGATGGAGAGAACCGTGGCCAGAGGATGCTCAACACAATGGTGTAGCTGAGCGCATGACATCGAACGTTTGACGCAGAAAGAGCCAGAAGCTTTTACGTGGTACAATCAAGGTCTTACCAAAGG